TTCAACCTTCTAATCGATGGGAACATTTTTTGATAAAGCAGAGAGGAGGATTCCGAATGTGCATGAGATCTTCAAACAAATGTCTGACTGACCACTTTCTCAACCAATTTCTTCCTCAATTTTATTTTACTTACTTCATGGTCACTTTGTTTGTTTGATATCTAAACTGTGCAGGTTCCTGAAGAGAATTTAGCAAAAAGTGAATGAGCCAACCTCTTGTACTAATTCATCTTGCTTCCTTTTAAGAGCACGAGGCTCGTCCGATTGCGTATTTGATGATTCTGGCCCCACAAGCACGTGTTGCTGCAATTGCGCTCTGATATGCAAACTATACTATTAAAAAGAATAATCAAAGAGACATCCGCAGAGATAATCAATTCTTCTACGGTTATATTATTGTTAAACCTGTCGTATTGCCTCTCTAACTAACTTACCTGTGACAAGGCAAAAGGGGGAGGTGCCACAACAGATACTGACATCGACGCCGGGTCGCAGTCACTGTTCTTGCGCTTTCGTGCGCGATCCTCGCGCATCTGGCCGTATCTAATGCCGGTAGATACGGTAGAAGGGCCACCTCAAAGAGATACTGATAAATTTAGACGAAATAATACCGAGAACAGCGTAAAACGGACAAAAAAAGCACAAGCAGAGCGCAGAAGAATTATGGAGCAGAAGATCTCGGTGCTATGTTTTTAGTACAATGCTTTTGTGTTTGACAACGTTCGAAAAATAAAACTAATTTCTATATTTGAAGTACAGCCGAGTTTTTAACACGCGTTCGTTGCGATCGCCTACACATATAATCCCCAAACAATCAAAGTTTAAGTGACCAAGATATGATTTAGCGCCAGTTCCGTCTTCCAACAAAGCACAGTCTGCTTTCCTATAGTTTGCAAGATGACCGTACATGTACCGTGTTCTATATTAACTGTAGGATCTTGCTGCCTGACAACTGCGACACTAGTGACAGAGAAAAAAAATAGAAAGGATTAGATTAGGTGAAAACACAAGATGTGTTCATTT